TGGAGGAAGGTGTTTGGAGGACTTTCTGCAATGGGAAGAAGTGTGGTTTTGCGACTAAAAGGGAATGCGGAGAGAAAGAATGGAGAGTTCTGAAAGCTGTAGAGCCGATCTCCATGGGAGCTGGTGTGTTGCCTGCAAGTGATGAAGAAGATGAAGGTGAGATGATGTACATGAGGGCTAAGTTTGAGAGGGTTGTGGGGTCAAGAGATTCAGAAGCTTTCTATATGATGAATCCAGATAGCAATGGAACTCCGGAACTTAGTGTCTATTTGCTCAGAGTTTGAGACTTCAAATTATGAACTTGTTTGAAGAAGCTAGAGCCTAAAGGAGATGTTACATCTTGGAAATTTTCTTCTTCTTGAATTTGGTTATTCTGTCATAGAAAATGGTAAAAGGGTGAGTTTGTTGTAATTTGTAGTTCTTTAAGGGTGGAATTGGAAATATACATATATTAATTACATAATGATTGGAGCTATTATGCATATCTACGTATCTACGCTATAGTATATAAAATGTTTTGGGTGACATTTATTGATCAATTTATAAAAAGTAACGTATAATTAAATACTGTAATCAGTTTTGTAATAAGTTTTTTCAAAAGACAATGTTTTCAACCAATAAAAAATATTTTAAAATTTAATTAGGATGTATATGTATATGGTAAAATGAAATTTTTTTTAGCCAACCCAAACGTTTTATATTCGAACAGAATGCACATAATTAAAACAACAATAGGTAGAGGCAAAAAAAAAAAAAAGAGAGTTAAAAACAGAGGTTAGATAATTAAAACAACAATCGGTAGAGGAAAAAAAAAAAAAAAAAGAGTTAAAAACAGATGTTGTTACATCAAGACATCAAAGTAAACAAGAATTACACTCCATAATCGGGTCCCTACACCAATTCAACCACCGATGCTTGCCTCCTTTTTTCTTACTTGTGTTAATCCAAAAATAGGGACAGTTTGTTGCTCCTCATTAGCTAAAATTGAGTGAGATTTGCTCCACATACCCTATACAAATACAAGCATAACCGCTTCCTGTGGTTCCATTGCAAACTCCTGAGAAAGATAAGCAGAGAGTTGTCGATGTAATTCCTAAAAAATGTTACCCAGCAAACTCCTGAGCTTTTAAAGTTCCACTGTCATTTGTAATTTTTTTTGGAACCGGCGGAATTTATTAAAACCACGGGCTAAAGGAAAAAGACCGGGCACAAAAGAAAAAACAAAAACAAAACTTACAAAATGTCAAAAGGGAACAAACCCAACATTCCCAAATACAATTTCCAAAGTTACCCCTATATTTCAGCCAACTAAAAACCATAGAAATCACATTATCCGCTAACTTTGAAGAGTTCACTTGGATTTTGTTAAATCAAACATCGTTCTTTGCTTTCCACATACACCATAGAAACCCATAGCAGATAGCAAGAAATATTTTTCTCTTTTTTGGACAGTTCCCCCATGAGGCAGCAAAATTAACAAAATCTGAAATCAAAAGGAACCTTTGAATAGAAACGTCACACCAATTGAAAATCTAGGGTAGAGAATTAAAAGCAATCAGACAGTTCAAGAGAATATGATCCGCAGTGTCCACACCACTAAAGCACATTTGATAGGAAATAGAAGACATGTTGATACCTCTCCTGGAAAGAGCTACTGCAGGAGGAATACGCCCCATACAAGCCCTCCAAACAAAGCTAATGCACTTGATAGGAACTAAGTAAAGTCAAACCGTGGGATTATTTATCGGGATAGTCAATTTACTGCCAATGAGGGCCCTAAGATCGCATACACGAAAAAAACCATCAACAGTTAACCTTGATCTCCAAGTGTCGGGCCCATTGGATCTAACAACCATCCTTGTAATATCCAAAATAGATTTCAATTCCAGCAGCTCCTGAGAATTATTGGGTTTCCGCTTCCAAGCCCACGAGAAAGCCCCATTCACCCATCTGTCACCTAAAAGACAAGTTTTCCTCTTGTCTAACGCATATAAAGAAGGGAATTTCACTGCCATAGTCCCGTTCTTTAGCCAGTCATCTAGCCAAAACAAAAATTTTCTTTCCGTCCCCTACCTGAAATTCAAAAATATCTGAAACATCAATATTAATATTACCAAGTGTCAAGAAGACATTGACAATACTACTCCAAGTGCCCGACAGAGATTTTTTAGCCCAAGAGTGAATAGGTTTCCTATCACATCTATGAATACTACCAATCATTCGCCTCCAAAGAGAGTTATTTTCCGTTTTAAACCTCCATATCCATTTTGTCAAGAGGGCCCAGTTAAGCGAGGCCAAGGATTCGACCCCGAGCCCACCGGACGATTTTGGCCCAAGCACCACCTTCCAAGCGACCAAATTGATTTTTTGTTTTTCTTCACTTCCTCCCCATAAGAACCGTCTTCTCAGTTTCTCGATGTTATCAATAATGGAAATCGGGACTTTAAAAATGGAAAAATAAAAAAGAGGGACACTACCCAACACAGCTTTAACAAAAGTTAGGCAACCGCCAAAGGATAAAGTTTTAGCTTTCCATAGAGAAAGTTTATTTTGAACACGATCAATGATGGGTTGCCAACTCCTTTTTTGGGACATATTTGCTCCAAGAGGTACTCCAAGATATTTAAAAGTAAGAGAGGTTGCCTCACAACCGAGAATTCTAGCGTAATTAGCAATTTCATTCTCCGAAACTCCAATGCCATAAACTTTGGATTTGTGAAAATTAACTTTGAGCCCCGAAGATGCATGAAAACATCTCAAAATTCTTGCCAAGTTTATGAAGTTGGAGCTTGTCCAATCTCCAATAAACATGGAGTCATCGGCATAAAACAAATGAGAAATCGTAGGGCCTCTATTAGGCATTTCAGCCCCATGAAATAAAGAATGGTCGTAGGCCGAACGCATGGCGACATTTAATACTTCCATAGAAATTATAAACAAGAAAGGAGATAGAGGATCCCCTTGCTGAACCCCTTTGGTAATAAGAAACTCTTTCGTGGCGGAGCCATTGAGGAGAATAGATGCCCGAGAGGACGAGAGACAGCCTTTTATCCAAAATATCCATTTATCTCCACTGTCCTTTGTAATCATCGTTAAGATCAATCGTGTGAATCATTAAATCTTGGAACTGAATATTGACTTTTGCAATTGTGATCCGTAAATCGGCAACCGTACCCTATAAGTGCCATTTTGTTTTTGCTGAAACTGCAGTAGGGATGTCAACGAGACAAAACGGGAGCGGAAATAGCTACCCCCGCCCCCGCCCCCGAAATCAGTTATTGCCCCCGCTCCTGCTCCCACCCCTGCCCCGAATCCCCCGTTCCTGCCCCTGGATACCATCATTACCACAAATCCCGCCTAATGTTCCTCCATTTCATAGGCTTAAAATTGATTTTTTTTGCTAAAAAAATTGTTATATTTTGGACTAACCTATTCATTATCGTATCGTCATATGTTGTGAAGTGAAAGAAAGTAAAGAAACCCTAAAATTAGATAATGTATTGTTTATATATGTTTTTATATCAAATATATATTTTTATATAAATATACAAACGGGACCCTCATAGGAGTACGGGACAAAAATACTCATTCTCACCCCGGTCCCAAAAATAAAATGGGGTTTAACTCCACTCCCGCCCCCGAGCCTGCCCCCGAATTTTTAAAAAAATTAAGGCGATTACCAATGGGAGTTCAATGGAGGGTTTAATGGGGAGTTTAATCTCATTAAACTCAAGATCCCCATTGTGGAAAAGTGACTAGGATTTAATGGAATGAGGAGTTCAATCTCTATTGAACTCTATATTTGCTCTCTCCACACACACACACACACACACACACACGCACACACACACACACACACACATATATATATATATATATATATATATATATATATATCTTTACTACTTATAAAAGAAATCTAACTATTTCTATAAATAGATTGAATATAATAATATTATTTTTTTAAGACGTTCAAACTATTAAGCTTGAAGTACAACCCATTTATAATATAATAATATTAAAAATTTAACCATATCCTTTATCCCTTAAAAATCTCATATCAAATTAATAGAAGAATTCATTTGGAAATTGAACCCGTCAATCTCAACACTTCAACCATTTGAAGCGGTCAATGTCAACAATTTATAGAGGATCTCTTCTCTTACATTGGTAACAAACAATCTCATAATATCTATCTTCGTAATCCCTTCAAAGTAAGAAATATACGCACACTCTCTCGAAGAACCCTAACCAGTAACCAAGACAGTATAACCACCACCACCACAGCCGCTCTGCCTCCTTTCGCCTTCAATCAACCACTATCACGACTACCGCCCTTCCTCTCACCCACGACATGAACTTTCTTTTGGAACATAACATTTTTCTTTAAAAAAATATCGTTGAAAGAAGCTATTTGTCCCCGCCGCTGTGCGCGGGTAACGGCTAGTATATATATATATATATATATATATATATATATATATATATATATATATATATATATATATATATATATATATATATATATATATATATATAGGAGTAGGATCAAATGAGAACACCTAAAAGGTTGAGAACGCAAGAACAGATCTGGACCATCTAAGTTTTAAGATATGTTGCTATAATTAATTGTTATTTTTCTAATTATTAATACATTTAAATTTTAAATTTTAAATTAAAAAAAAATAAAGGCTATTAAGGTAAATAAACATTACCTTAATTTTGTAAACTCCTATAATTACTCTATTTCGCTTTATTTGGTTGACCTAATCTCATAGAATTAGTCATCTCATCGCCTCATCTCATAGAACATATCAGAGCCGAAGGAGGCCATAGAATCAGCGGAGAAACATTTTAAACGCTCTCTCTCTCTCTCTCTCTCTCTCTCTCTCTCTCTCTCCATTTAATGGCGTCGGTAGTCGGAGGAGGAGCCGCCGGAGAAACATTCCACAAAGTGAACTTCGCCTGCTGCGCCTCCCATTGCTTCAATTCCAACATCAATGGCCGACTTCACTTCAGGTATATATCCCCTTCCATCATTCACATCCAGATTATTGCTATCTACCTCTAACATATTTACTTTCATTCGAATCAGGAACTGAAATCGATATCATGAAGCACCAACACAGTTCAAGTCGAAAGGTTCTTATTAGGCTCATCACAGTTTCGTTTGTGATGGCAATCATCATAGTTTCCATCATGTGTTTGTGGATATGCCATAGAAAGAATATACACAAATCAGGCAAATTCGGTACCACAAAATTAGGTAAGACGATGTAAAACTTAATAGGTTTTGACAATTTCTACATATTCTAAACAGATTTGTTGTTTTAATTTCAAGATTCTTTGAGAGGGCTTCCATTGAGTTCATTCGTTAGCAGAACTAACTGTGTTTTCAAAACCAAAATCCAAAAGGGATCGGTGGTTGTTATGGATTATAACGTGTTAGAATCAACAACAAATAACTTCGGTGAAAGCGAGATATTAGGCGTAGGTGGATTTGGATGCGTGTATAAAGCTCGACTCGATGATAATTTGCATGTAGTTGTTAAAAGATTAGATGGTATTAGTCAAGACGCCATTAAAGAATTCCAAGTTAATTATCATTATCTTAAAGATTCAGACTTTAATTAATCTTTTAATTCTTGCAATTTTGTGATTAGGGTTTTCTTTTTTTGCAGATGGAGGTCGATCTATTGAGTAAAATTCATCATCCGAATATCATCACCTTATTGGGATATTGTGTTCATGATGAAACCAAGCTTCTTGTTTATGAACTGATACATAATGGATCTTTAGAAACTCAATTCCAAATCAAATTCGGTGTTTTTCAAAAATTGAGTTTCATATTCAAAGAAGGAATCATAATTGATTTTCGATTTGAATTGTCAAACCATAGAAAGTCAAAACTGGGACTGCCATCTTAATCAGATTCATGCTAAGGGTATTTTGGGTAAGATTCCTGGTACGTCCCCTGTTCATGAAACATCTCATGTTACGATTCTTATTCCTATGAAGATTTTGAAGCATTCTGGCAGTGGTAATGATGAAGTAATGAATGAGGGTTCGAATGATGATGTGAAGATGGGATCCGATACTGGGACTGATTTGAAAATGAACCAGGGAGTTAGTTTTTTGGATCTTAAATGGGATAATGAGCTATGATTTTTGATAATGACTCCAAATCAAAATCATCCCAGTGGTTACCATTGTCAATGATGTTAGCAAAAAGTCTTATTCTTGAATTGTTGAAGCTTCTAGCTCCATGGTTGATCTTAACATCAAAGTTATTCCTAAAGTTGATGGGAAACCAAATGGTAAAGCTGAGCTAGAGGAGAATGAAAAATTGTATTGTGTTCTATATTAATGTTAAAATGTGCATTTATTTATGAATAACAGTCTATTCATTTGTGAATAAAAGTGCATTCATGTGTGAATGAATATATTTATGTATGATTAGAGGTATTCATTTATTCATTTGTGAATAATAGGGAACTCATTTGTTAATAGAAGTGTATTCATTTGTGAATAACAGTGTAATCATGTGTTAATGAATGTATTTATTTATGATTAGAGGTATTCTTTTTATGAAGAAATGATAATTTTTACTCTTTTTGTTTTTCAGTCGATTAAAAAAAGGAATTGGATTACTTGTAAATTGATGTGTATTCATTTGTGATTGGAGAAGTATCAGGTTTTTTGAAAAAAATCATTTGTGAATACAAATGTATTAATTTAGGGTTCGATTTCTATTCATTTTTTTGAAAAAAAAAACGTGAAATTAGAAGAAAAAAATGATTTTTTTAATTTTTTTTTTTTCAGTTTTAAGATAAATTTTGGTAAAAATGTTTTTTATATTCCATTAATAATAAAAATAAAAAATTGAATATTTATTTCTTTTTTTGGTAACTGCTCCTAAATTTAAGGGAATTTGATTGAATTTTATTTTATTTTAATTTAATTAAGATATACAATTACTAATATGCCCTTATATATTGATTGGTCCAGAATTGTTCTCGCGTTCTCAACCTTTTAGGTGTTCTTATTTGATCCTTTCCGTGTGTGTGTGTGTATATATATATATATATATATATATATATATATATATATATATATATATATATATATATATTATTTTTTATTTTAAATTTTAAATTAATGTTAATTTTAGTTGTAGTTTTTAATTTCATGCTAATTAATTTTTAAAAAAATAATAATAAATAAAATAGAATAATAAATGATGTGACGATCCATTAAATTGTATAGAGTTTAATGAAGTGTAGAGTTTAATGAGTAAAGTTGTATAATGAGTGAAATGTATATGTGTCAATCCACTGAATTCATATGAGTTCAATGCATTGGAGATACGGAATCGGGGTCCTACGGAAATTTTTTGACATCCCTAAACTGGAGAACTGAAGTCACTCTCTATACTTAAAAATGATGTGATAACTTTTGTCCATGCATTGCTATCAAAACATTGAACTTCCGCCCTCATTTACCTAGTAAAGCCAAATTTAGAGCTTGAGGCTGCCAATTCCAAAGCTACCATAATCTTTGAATGCAAGAATTTCATCCCCCGTATTTAAAGTCAATTTCCGCTTTTCTAAGTTTCCACCCCAAAAGAACTTCATTTTTTTTCCAAGGGACTTTAAGACATTGTGTTAAAAATATATACACATTTTATATCAAATTTAATATTTGTTATTTTAGTTTTGGGTGTATTTTGTTGTTATATTTATTTTGCGGGGTTTTTTTTATGAAAATTATTGAAATCTTGTGCGGGTTTGTCGATCCATCGGAGCTATCTTTGACACGGGTATATATTGAGTGCAGCTGCCTTCGATGGTTTATAATTCGTTCACATTTTTCCCTTTCTCGCTACCTTTTCTCTCTAGATATTAATATCAATTAGGGTTTCGTTTAGGGTTTCATACTTTGTTCTTGTATATCCTTCGGATGTTATACGTTTGAGAGTTTGAGAGTGATTATAGTGAGGATTTTGTTTGTATCATGTATGATGAAAACCATCTAATTCATACTGAATGAACTGATGATTTTGGGAAATTGTTGAGTTTGTGTTCTTCGTGTTTTTTTTCATGGTATTAGAGCTATAAGGCTTCGATTCTTCGTTTCCAACACTCGGCGGTGGTTCTCATCTCCGATCGTTGTCGTAAAAGGTATCGTATGATCTTTTGTGTTAGATAGTTCAGTTTGTGTTGAATTTGGTATGTCTCTTTGAGATCTCTGGATTTGTTATGCAAACTGTGAAAATCTGAGTTTATTGTTTCGATGTAAGGTTTCTGCGTCGATCTCCCCAGATCAAAACAAATACTGTTTTTCTTTGGGATTTTGGTATTGCGAGCTCTTGTATGTTCTTGTAGGATGATCGATTGCGCTAGGTGGTTTTGCTCTCATCAACGATTGTCGCTTCGATGTTCGTTTTGGTCGATTAATCTCTTCGTCTGAAATAATTCTCTAGGGGTTGGATTTTGTCACCAATAAACCCTAGTAGGGAATGGACAAGGGAGTCAACTCGTCTTCTTTTGTCTTCTTCCTACTGTGATGGTTTCTTTGCTCCTTTATTCTCTGATGATGTTTTGGGAGATCATGGTTGTCTTGCATACACCAGTTATATTTTTTCTTATTTGTTTTCTTTTGACTCTATGTTGACTGTCCCGAGCCCCGATAAACACGGTGCCCATCTGGAGAATAGATCAATACATGTGTATGTTTATTTTGTTTTCTTGGTTGCTATTTGTGTTTCTTGTCTCTATTTGTGTTAATTTGCTTTCACGGTTGGCCCTAATGATCATCATGGGGGAAGTGGAAAGGATGATCAAGATAACTTTGATGATCCTCTTTACATACATCCATTCGATAATGCAGTAACAACAATTTTTACTGTAAAATTAATTGGTAATGAAAACTTTAGGTTATGGAGGAGCTCTGTGTAAAGAGCTCTTAGGTCTAGAAACAAGCTAGAGTTAGTTGATGGAACATTAAAAAAGAAAAGTGTTGATCAATCTAAACACTCAAAATGGGATAGGGTTAATGTTGTGTTCTTGGATTCTTTCTTATATTTTTGATTCCATCTATGCTAGCTAGTCATACATATTCTAAAGATGCTGAGTATATTTGGAAAAATCTTTTTGAAATCTATAATAAATCTGATGGTTCTGTTGTTTTTAATGTTCATCAACAAAATCAATTCTTTTAAACAAAATGGTATTTTTTTTATCCAATTATTTTAACATGTTTGAAGCTCTATGGAAAGAGTTTGATGGCTTAACCAGTTTAACTGAGTGTACATGTGAGGCTTTATTAAACTCAAAGATCATTCTAATTTGATGAAACACATGCAATTTCTTAGTGGTCTTGATGATTCCTATTGTCAAGTTAAGAGTTATATTTTGCTCATGGAGCCTTTGCCTAATGTCTAAATGTAACACCCATAAAATTCAAGCCAATTTAAAACTTTTTAAAACATTTCAAACCACATGGTTATTACAAAACTTGTTTTGCAAACTAGGATATTGTCAAGTATCACAGAATCAAATCATGAAATTATAAAAGGTGAGGAGCGGTACGATCACGCCTTCGCCTTCCCACGATCTTTAGAAGTACCTGAAACAATAATCGATAAATGTAAGCTCGAAAGCTTAGTGATTTACCTCTAAATACCAACGCCATATAGATATAACCATATCATATAAACATATAAGCAAACAAATACATATTGATCCGTCAATATGACTGAACCAAATCCTGATCCTCAGTCTATCTGGACCGCTCTCCAAGCCCTCGGCACGTCTGAACCGCCCTCCTCGGGGCCTTCAGCCTATCCGGACCACTCGATGTGCCTTTGGCCTAACTAGATTTGCCCGACCCGGGCCTGCTGTCTACCCGATCCCCCTAGGGTGTCTTGGCGTAATGCACACAGCAGGACCTGCCTCAACCCTTTCCCCAAATCAATAAACATGTGCATATAAACATCATATGCTAGCATGCAATATCAGATAATCATACGGATCTAACAGATCACTAATAATGGCAACCATCCTATAACCAGGATACTGATCTAACCGATCTCTACTATAGCAACCATCCTACAACCAGGATATCTAACAGATTACTAGCATAGCAACCATCCTACAACCAGGATCAAATCTAACATATCAATATGTAGCACCTGATTCCTAGTATGTATCTTATTGGTGTAATTTTGCATTTTTGGCCTGGGACTCGGTGAGTTGAAGGCCTAACTCGCCGAGTAGAAGCGGGATGAGGCGCAGGATTTAAGTGATGGACTCATCGAGTCGAGTGTCGGACTCGACGAGTAGGCTCCGACTGGGCAAAACCCTAATCTGAGGGTTTGTACCCTATTTAAACAACCTTATACAGCCTCCATCGCCCCTTTATGTGCCCATAAACCCCCTAGTAAATCCTAAGTGTTTTGGTGCAAGATCTAAGGCTTTTGAGTGATTTTTGTGGGTTTTGACCTCAAGGAAAAAGGAAGAGCATAGAAGGGTCAAGAGGAAACTGAAGGATTCGATTTTGGTGCATCATTTCCAATCCTTGAAGGGTATAAAGTCTGTACCTTGCTTGTTCATTTCTTAGATCCCTTTTTGGGGAAGATTTAGGGCTTTTTAAGCCAAATGAGGTGGCCAACCATGATTGCAAACATGGTTGGGGGTCAAGACTCCGGATCTAAGTATTGGAAGGAGTCACAAAGTAGATTTGGGTTGCTTTTGCACCCAAGGAAGGTCCCATGCAACATAAGAGTCATTTTAGAGCCTTTTTGGCTCAAAAGTCCCATGCATGCACGTGAAGTTCGAAACTTTACGTGCTAGATGGAGCTTAGGGGCTTGGATCTATCATTTGGTCAAAGGTTGCACATCAGAATTTGAGGAAATAGAGCATGGATGTTATTAACTTAGCGAGTCCGTTCTTGGGACTTGACGAGTCCAAGGCTTTGAATCCCATATCCGTTGAGGGTTAAAGGACTCAGTTGGGTGTTAGAAGGGTTGTAGCAGGACAGAGAGAGTGACCCAACGCATTGGACTTAGTTTTAGACCTGGAGTTCATGGGAATAGACGAGTGCTAGAACAGACTCGGTGAGTCCTAGGCAATCTTCTTATGGATGAAGATGAACTCGACGAGTTGTTCATACAACTCGGCGATTCGGGGTCCGGACTTGTTCATCGGATGAAGGTGAACTCGAAAAGTGTTCATCCAACTCGACGAGTCGGATGAAGGTTCATTGATGTTCGTAAAGAAGGAGAACTTGTCGAGTCGTTTCCAAACTCGACGAGTCGAGTCGTGTAAAAGGATGAGTAAAGGAAAGGGACTCGATGATTTGATGGCCCAACTCGGCAACTCGGGTAAACTGGAAGTTGACTTTGACTTGGACTTGGTTGGGGGTAAAATAGTCATTTTACCCCAAGAGTAGATATCAGTTTCTGACTGAATGTTTTATGGGGATTATAGCCGGAGGACTTCTGGAGCAGCAGCAGGTAGAGGCTTCCCACACAGATTATCAACAACTACTTGTTCGAGGTGAGTTACCTTCCAGT